ATATATATATATAATACACCTACTAAAACTTATAGTTACAGTAGAAAATGTTGACTCCCATTTGTGATTTCTTGGCGTTTACCTTTGTCACTAAGCAACGCCACAAGGCGTCCTTCTTTTTTTTTTGCAAAGGCTTCTGGGAAACTGAGGCCTGTGGGCCATAACGACCGCCCTTTTTCGAGCAACGAGAGTAGAACAGAGCCGTGGGAAATATAATCGCAAAGCTACTTTTTAAAACTGTGTACAACTACTTGAGGTATGTCAAGCGATGCTTTTCAACGCATTCTTCGACCCACAATAGTTAAAATCAGGATATCTGTCTGGTAAAAGTGTATTTTAATGCGCGGATTGATGACGTAATGTTGATTGTCAAACGCGAAATGGCGAGTGTGCTAGGAGGCCCGTTAGCAGCCGAAATCAGGATTTTTACTACACTTTTTCCACTTAAAAAGTGTATTAACAATCCATGGAGACCGTTATTGCATTTTATCAACGCTGGGTAAGTTCAGCAGTAGTTGTATGCGGTGGATGTGTGTATATAAATGTAGATTTTATTCATCTCTGTGGAGCAGGGTACGAAATTAAGCTAGCAAAGAGGTTTAGCTAGTTAAATAAGCTCCATGTGTGAACAGCAAGGAAAGCAATTTCTTTCTAGAACTCAAGTTTTTTTCCGAAATTAAACTTGGCAGGGTGGTAGATGTTTTAGTAGACATACTACTAACAAATAGCATGTCATTAGTCGGATGCAAACAACAAAATTATTCTATAACAGACATACACTTGCTAAACAGAACATTACAAAACATGTAATGCCAGGCTCAAAATGCACTTTAAACATTCTACGGCATATTTCGTGTAATATCCAAAGTTTAGCTTTTAGACCAATGCACTTTTTTATGGTAATAAGCCTGAACTAACTATTATAACCATTGTGTCCTTTCTATGGAAATAATTCACAGTGCTTTTTATGTAATGTGCATGAGATATACATGTCAGTTTTAGGACAAAGTCAGTACTTCACATTAAGGAGAGAGCAGACATAGATAGGCACTGGTATCACTTAATGGGCAAATATTAGATGATTCAAGTTATTAATTACACATTTTAATAAGGTACATTTAAGCTGTTTTGTTTTGCTGTCCTTTGATGACAGAGGAGTGGCTTCATCTAGGAGAGATGATTAGTTCATATTTCAACTCTAATCTTATTAGACAATTATCATTACTGGTAGCCAGTCCTAGTGTGTGTTCCCTATGGAGTTAGTATACTCATATTTTAACTGTGAGATTGCCACTACCAAATTTCCCGAAACACCTCTCGCTTTTAGCGTCTTCTTTCCTAAATCTAATTTTAGCAGTACTGTTTGTCTGTACGAGATGTAAAGTAACTCTGTAATAGCTTCTTGACATGCACATTCAGAACTGCCTGTCCATGTGCTTCCGTTTTTGCAGGGCAGGGTCGGGTGAAAGATGGCGGCGGGGGCAGAGCTGGAGGTGAATGGAGGCAGCGAGTACCCGGGGCTCTACAAAGTCATGATGGACAAACTAAATGAACAGCGACAACTGGATCAGTTTACAGATATCACTCTCATAGTGGATGGTATGTACAGTTATAGATTTATATGTTTTCTTCCTGGAAATTATTTGTATGGTAAAACACTATTAGGCTGCAAAGTTAATTTGCATATCGGTTGCTTGTTGCAGGACACCACTTCAGAGCTCATAAAGCTGTGTTGGCAGCGTGCAGTCAGTTTTTCCACAAGTTCTTTCAGGATTTCACCCAGGAGCCTCTGGTGGAGATTGAAGGTATTCAGTGTTTCTGTTAAATCCCAGTTAAAGAATGAGCAGCCATGCCTTCACATAGAAGCAATGTCAACTTTGAAAGTGAAACCTTTGTGGGTGGATGTTGTTACGGTTTCAAGTTTTGCTCTAGTAGATAAATGATGTCATAGCATTTTGTAAATTAGGTAAAAAAATAAAATAAAATAAACAAAAGCATGTTAACTATGAAAACAATAGCTAGTATTTTTGCTCCTGTTAAAAAACTTTTAGGTGGACAAAAATGTATCTTTTTTTCATAAGATAGAAAAATGCAGTTAGATGTTTTGTATTCCATGTGTTTTGTATTATATACTCACTGGTCCTCTGACTTTTTATAGGAGTTAGCAACACAGCTTTTCGCCAGCTGATGGAGTTCACGTACACAGCCACACTAGCGATATCTGGGGAGGAAGAGGCGCTCGATGTGTGGAAAGCTGCCGAATACCTTCAAATGCAGGAAGCCATCAAAGCACTCAAGAAGTAAGACATAAGCAGAATAACCAGTCGTCTTGTACTGATAAACTCTCATGCTTGAGTGATGATCATTAAATAACAGTGTGATTTTTTTCTCTTTTTTTTTCTTTTTAAAGAATAAATTCCTCAATGACAACAAAGAGCATTGCTAAGAAGAGGACGATTGCAGAGACGTCTAATGTGATCACAGAAACCTTACCGACGGTGGAGGGAGAGCAGGTTGGTGTTTATCTGCAGTTCTGGTTAGAGGTGTGCATACATTCATCAGTGTGTGCACAAGTTCAAATTTATTGGTGATGTTGTTAAACATGATTGTAATGTAGTTAGTTCATCCTCTTTGTGCAAAACAACTAGACCAGTAACAGGTAAACGATGCTACCCTGCTTTAGAGTTGGTTTTAAATTTTTCCCCTTTGATTTGGTGATTAACTTAGGCTGCAAATCAACCAACCAGTTTAAATGAACTCCGACATTTTTGAAAAAGAGCGGGCCGGTATCTAGCCAAAAATATAAAAAAAACTTATTGTTGACGACAAAAAGCATTTAGTCAAGTGGCAGCTTGCTAAAGAACATTTAATCAAATATTAATGGGCATTCTGTTTATGAATATTTGATTCTTTACATAAAATTGTTATGCAGTTAAAAGTAAATCTATAGTTTTTTCAACTTTTTACAATGAGCTTTGGTTTGCAAAAATCACCAGAGTTGTTTCTTGTGTCATGAGTTCACATTGAAAATACAAATACATTAATAAAAGCCATAAGTGCATGACATTTAAGCTGATTATCACCTTATTTAAAGGTATGAATTAAATGCTTTCCTGTCCTCTAGGTGGAGATTGAAGTGGTGGAGACCGGCCTGGAGGAGGTGCTGGATGGAAAGACTGTTCAAGCTGCATCAGATGACTCTGCTTTGGCTCTTCTAGCTGACATAACTAGCAAATACCAGCAGGGGGAGCCAACAATTCATGTGATCAAGAAGGATGAAGAGGTATATATTTTGTATATTATTAATTTCTTAAATATGTTTATACTTGGGAAAAGCATTCTCTACAAAAATCAGTGTTTACTTTCCAGGAGGTCCTGTATCAGGAGGAAACCGTGACAGCCTCCAAAGTACTAGAGAACGTTGAAGTCGTAGAAGTCCAGATCTCCCAAGGAGACATCTTCCGCTGCAGCAAGTGCGACCGTAGTTTTAAGCTGTACTACCATCTCAAGCAGCACCTGAAGACTCACCTGGGCTCTATGGAGAAGCCTCATGTGTGTAACCACTGTGGGAAAGCTTACACACGGGAGGGAGCCCTGAAGCAGCACATCAGCACGTTTCATTTTGACGCCGAGGAACTGTCTCGAGGGCAGAAAATTCAAAAGAAAGTGCACATCTGTGAATACTGTAAGAAGCACTTTGACCACTTTGGCCACTTTAAGGAGCATTTACGGAAGCACACTGGTGAGGTTTGAAATATGAAACCAAAACAGCTCAATTTAAGTTACTAATTTTGCCTGGACCCTATTCATAATTTCTTATTTATACAGCCATTCTATAATTATATATGTGCAGCATTAGCATTTTTGCACTTTTATATTTTCAGGTGAAAAGCCTTATGAGTGTCCAGATTGTCATGAGCGATTTGCAAGGAACAGCACATTGAAGTGCCATATGGCTGCCTGTCAGAACGGAGCCGGAGCCAAGAAAGGACGAAAGAAGCTCTACGAATGCCAGGTACAGCTTGCCAAAGTTTTCTTTTTTTTCTTTGTTAAAACAACGTTTTAATATTTATCTATGTAGAAAGAAATGATGCTCATACATCTCCCACAGAAACCTCTGAATCTGTAAACCTTTGATCTGCTGTTGCAGATCTTCAGCTGGTTCAAATCTTTCTTTATTATTATTTATAGATCTTAAAATTCTTTTTTTCTAGCTTTGGCAGAAATCAGAAATGTTTATTTTTTTTTCAATAAAATGTTTTAATGGTAAAGAACAAAAAGAACAGTGATTTTTCTCTAAAACGGCTGAAAGCTACACAGCCGTCTGTCTCAACACGCAACGTCTAGAGACACAGTAAAACCCTTCATGTTTAGGATCTGAGATATCTGCAATTAAACACAACTGAAAACTTTTCAAAGACACTTCAATAAGTTTTTATTGTTTTTATTTTCAATTAGATTCATTCAGAAAAATAAACAATAAAGGTACAATTCAGTTTTGTTGTTCCCTTTCAATTCTTTGAAAGCTTCAAACTAATGAATTTATGAGTATCAGAGACATCATCACAGGGCAGTCAGTGTTACACAGGAATAACAGGACTTCAAAAATTTAAATACACAAGCATTGCAGTTGTGAGTTTAGCTTCCTGGTTTCTCCTGAAGTTTTGAAGTTTCATAAAAATGGAGGCCAGAAGAAACAGTCAACATGCTCCTGTAGAATATAGATTTTTGTTTTAGAACTTTTTAATTGCTTTGTGTCCTTAGACTTCATTATTAACACTAATACTGAAAATATCTATTTTCCTTCTGTACAACTTCAGTAACCATGGGACATTATCGAACACAAGATTTGCAAGTTCAGTACTCATTAATTTGCCAGTGCACTAATTGTTTTAGCATTGCCAATGGGCATTTGTGAATATAGTTAAATCTGCTGTGTATGCAAATATTCACAAACGTAAAAAAAAAACAACATCTTAATCTTTTTTTGCACCAGTATTATTTTGTAATTAAGTAAGGCTACAAGTGTTGACTAACCTTAATGTATTTAGATTTCAATTACAGGTAAACAAGTTGAATACTGTTCTTTATACTTTGCTTCTGCAGCAGAAATGCATAACATCCCAGTATTAATTGGCTCAAATCTTTAATTTATCATTAACTCTTCAAACCGTTTTTTTCCACATCAGGTCTGCAGTAGCGTCTTTATAAGTTGGGACCAGTTCAAGGAGCATCTTATGTGCCACACAGGGGACAAGCCGAACCATTGCACCTTGTGTGACCTATGGTTCACCGACGCCAAAGAACTTAAAACGCATCTCAAGGATGTACATTCTATCGAGGATAAGTCTATGGAGCAGGTGGTCCTCACCGACTCAGCCGCGACTGCCGCTCTCACCATAGCGACACAAAGCATAGGAGGCACTGAAACCGTCCTGCTGGACGATGGCATTCACGTCGAACATGTTACGGTGGAGCCTATGGACGTAATGCAAATGGAGGAGACTACAACAGTTGTAGTGGAAGATGGAGGAGTGGGGGGGATATGTGAGGAGGACCTGGAGAGACTAAAGCAGGCTGGCTTGCAGATCCAAGTGGTCCATGTGAACACAGCTGCAGTTGATGAGCACCAGGTGGTCAACACTGAGGTGGAAGTAGAGATTGAGGATGAAATTGTGAACCTAGAGGAAGCTGAACAAGCAGTAGCTGTATGAGAATAAAACAAGGATTGTCTTAATGTACCTTAAAAAAAAGGTATTTCCATATCAAGTAGAAGAAAGTTTTCTACTGCAGACACCTTATTTTTTTAACAGAATCCTGCATGTGGGATATACCACATATCTGTATAATCACCTGTCACATTGAACGTCCTTGTCTGAACTTCTCTAAATCTTTTGAGAGATTTGCAATATCAAGATTTCTTACAAATATTGTATTTATTTTAAATGTGTTTTCCACCTCATAACTTGAGTCTTCAGGACTCCAGCAATCCATTTTTCTCTACTTATTTTTTTCTCAATAAATTGCTGATGTCAAATCAGATCACTTGCGGTGTGCTTTGGGAAACTTGAGATGTTGGTAAAAATTTGTAAATTAGAAATTTGACTTTCAGCCAGTGTTTTTTTTTTTTTTTTTTTTCCTTTTTTTTAATGCCTCCATAGTGAAAAAAAATCTCATATGATATTTTTGTACTTTAAGACTTGGACTTAAGTCTTACTATTTACTTTAACACACTGCAAAGTATTCTGTTTTTAAGCAGAGGGTGAAATTCAAGGATTTCAGCTTGAAATAATTCACAAAAAAGGATGATTAAAACTGAATAAGCTTTAGGAACAGTCACAATTAAAGTCTGTAGAAGAATAGCCACTCGCTTTGAATTTTTATTTTTTTTACTAATTATCCCCACTGTGTTTGGCAGCACCTCTGTCTCGCATATTCTGATCAATCTAGCTTCCATTTATTGAATCTGGAATCTCATTTTTCTGCTCATGATTTGTGTCTCCCAACAATAGCTGTGGGTCAAAACATGGACAAAGACATCAATAGCTTTTCCTTTTTGACTGTTTTTACTTCACTGCAACAGACTGGACCATCTCATTAACCAATGATATATTGGTTAATGAATATATATTAATATATATCAATGTCATTAACAACAACTCCTTTTACCAGGTTAAAACTGAGCTGAATACTGTAAAGTAAACAACAACAACAAAAAAAACACTTTAAGTGGTTGGGGTACTAATAAAAGAGTGACTGGAGATATAAAACCCCTCAGGTATAGCCAACAGAATCAAATTTGCTTAAAGAGTTTTGGTGAAAAGAAAAGAAATTTGTCTCTAAAAATTTTATAAATGTCATATACACATGCAGGGTTGCCAACAAATTTAACAAGGGTTTTAAGACACTTCCAGCTCTTGTGCCAGTCAAATTTAAAGTAATAACTCTCTAAGCTCCTAGTCCCTTGACCCCACGCTGAACCTCTGATGTGGTCCCCTTACAGTCATCATGGGAATCACGCTGCCTGACACATGCAGCTTCAATTACCTGCCGAGTCCCGCCACCTGCTATTTGTGTAAGACAGCTCTCCTGCTCTTAGAATAAAATTGGTTCTAATTCTTCCTTCTCATTGGACACGGTGTAGCGCTGACGCCGTCGCTGATTGGTCCATCCGCCCGTCCTTTAAGTGGATTTCCTTGACAACAGACAGATCTGGGCAGCAGTTGCTGCAGAAAGCCTGAGCGGCCAATGTCACCGGGCAGTGGGGATAGGATGGATTTGGCACCAAGGTTGGTAAACATGGCTGTCACGGATTCACGAAGATATTGTACACATTCAAGTAAGATCAATTTCCATGTGTAGGCTCAGCTATATATATATTTTGTACTATAGGGTTATGATAGAAAGCGTTATGGCTCACAGAAAACGGCCTACTGTGGGTTTTCTTTTGGCTAACTGTTGACTATGATTGAACAGAGATGGGTGTATTATTTAATAGACACACTTCAAGACGTATTTATTCGAAAGATGCCTTCCTTGGGAATATTATTGTCACTGAAAAATATACGCGTTTAATGTAAACACATGAACCATTCATGGTGAGAAGTGCCGCTTTATTGTTTTCTCTGATGAGAGAGCTTATATCGTTTAGCTTGGGTTCACAAAAAAATACACCTTGAGGTACCTTAACTTGCTGTCACTGAAAGACTGAAGCGCAATATAACTCAGAATGACTAAACTGGTGCAAAGGCACCTGTTGCAAAGCGTTTTGTATGCTGTGTTCGCCTGTGACAATTTTTAGATTTAAACAAATGAGGTAAAATTTGCATGTCAGAAGAATTTATTCAATTACGCGTCAATGGAGATGGAGCTGCTTGGTGCGCCAAAGATAAATCTTTCGAGGAACAAAACAAGGAGAAAATGTTGTATTTTCTTCAGAAGTAAATAGCCGGGAGATGTGACGAATTAAGAAGGAAATTTCAGTCATTCATCTACATTGTAAGCTGTTGAATAATTTTCCATGTTGTTAAAACAAAAATGACCCCTTTTGTGCTTCTTTTTATGTCCACCTGCAGGAAATCTTTTCCTAATTTTATTCTTTTGATGATCAATTAATCAGAGTACATAAAACATTTTGCTTCATGTGATTTTTCTTTGATGCAAACCTCTTTGATGTGTTGATTGGGAATGACATGCAAAACTCAGACAGCTCTTTAAAGCTGGAAGAAATTAATTTGATTTTGATGTCAACCAGCAGATGCAAGCTTGGCAGTGGCTGCTCTGCAGCATAATTTTGTGTTTGTGCTTCCTGTTTATAGTGTCATGGTAACTTCATTAAGGCCTCAGAGACATACAAGTCCCTCGACGTGCTCATTCATCTTGCTTGTGTACTTGTTTTGTATAACCAAACATTATTGGTATTAGGGCCAGAGTCAGAGATTCAAAGTTCCCCACATTGTGCAAATCTGTCAGTCAAGGTTCACTTCTTGATTAAGTTTCAAAATATATGCTTTCTAATTTTTACAGGCCAGTCTGAAACAACAACAACAACAACAAAATCACATCTTTTACAAACTGGTGATAGCAACACAATAGCTACAGACATTTGGTGTAAACAGTATTATTATGGAAATGAGCCATTTTCAGTGTTGGTAATATGTTTAAAAAATAATTCAAAGGAAGTAGAGAGATCTGAGAAGCCATAGGTGAGTTGACCACATTTATGCAGGTCTCTTAAGAAATAACAGAAAGGGTTTAAATTATGACAATCTAAAATACCTTGCAAGTTGTCTTAGACTTATAGGCAGTAGAATGTTTTCAACTAATCATTTGAAATGCCATCTATTTTGAATCCGTCCCTGAAGGCAATTTTGTTTTGCTTTTGTTTAGCAGTTCCTTTAGGTTACTGCTGATCCATGTTTTGTTTTTGGGGAAGCATTTCACTGGGCTGGTGGGAATGCCGTTCTCCACACAGAGGTTTATAGTCAGTTGTGCCCCTAAGGTCATTTCCATGTGACTAGTAGAGTTGATCTCAGTCTGTAGCTTCAAAATATCCTACAGAGCTTCCCGTGAACATATTTTCACAGTCCTTTTGATTATAAGTGGTCTCTGAACATGGGATGTTATACACAGAGCAAAGAAAAACAAGATCTGATTTGCCAAAAGGAGCTCTTACTTTGGAGATTTTTGTGTCCCCGACATTTGCATAAACCAAATCCCAACGTTTTGTTTTCTTTTGTGGAACAGCTAAATTGCTGAAATGTTGCAAGTGTGGTATCTCTATTATTAGATTGTACTTTTAACAGTAGTTGATAACTGTGTAATTAGCAAATCCCACATTTTTGAATTTGGAATTGAAACCTGGTTTAATGTCATTCTCTGATATAGGTTTCATCTTCAGAGTTAAGCAGATCACAGCCGATGGAGCAGTCCGCCGTTGTTCCTGGTTAACTGTTGGGATTTCTCAACATTGCCTCCGCTCCACTTCTGTTTTTGAAAGGTTTCTAATTCAGCTAAAATCAATGTGACTGAACAGCTTAACAATTTGGCTGTTGGTTATTATATTAGCTCTACATTACAGTTAAACTGTTTGTATAAGTTGGGAAGAATTGGTGCCAATAGTTGCAGAGGTGCCACTAAAGGCAGCCAAATGTCATCTGTGGTACTTAAAGAACAGTTTCAGGGCCATGGCTTTAAAGTACTGATGCTGATGTGTCTTTGCCTCAAACTGCTTTTGTTTGCCTGTAAAGGGAGGGGGGGTGGATTTAGAGATCATATTCTTCTTCTTTCGTTTCTTTAGAATGAATAAAATTTTTGCCAAGACATTATAGGGAGGCAATGCCCCTCTGTTCCCAGGGTATTTAATGTATTATTTATAGTTACCCTATTTCACTATTGAGATTTCTATTATTTTCAAGTGTGCATCTTAACTAACACACTGGAGAAAACTTTGTGTGAAGAGTCATTTCTGCACGAACTGGTGCAGATGTATGATGAAAGTCTTATTTTGGGTAAAAATAGAAATTGGGATGCAAACACAACCAGATAAATGTTCTTAAAATTACTGAAAGCAAAGGATTGTATTTTTATAGAAAGAGCTCTCCTACTGATGTTGATCACTAGCTTAAAAGGCTAGTGATAAACCACTCCTCTCTGCCTCCTCTCTGTACTGTTAAACACACGACATGAGTTTTGTCTGTGACGGGAAGCACACCAGGTGGATAGCGCAACAATTAATCCACAACTGCCGTGGATGAGCTGCTTAAGTTCTCCTTTGCTGGAAGCCATAAAGAGGCTGCTGATAGCAGCAGATCAGTCAGCAGGAGAGTGAGCAGCACAGCCTGATGTTTGCCTTAAGTGATTCTTGCAGCATTAATTGTGCAGTGAGGAAGGAAGGCCTCATACTTGGCAAAGCAGGTTGTGTTTAATGATGACGGACTGTTTGCAGACTCGTGCACTAGTTTCTGACATCATATTCATGTACAGCATTTTTAGGAAATTATATTTACAAATGGCAGTGATGAACAGATTGAAGATTCTGCAGAACCATTATCAGACGCGCTTCCTAATCTTTGGAGCAATTCATAGTTTTATGCTATATTATTAAAATTCAGTTACAGGGTTTTAAAATACATGTCGTTAGTCTTTTACGTTACTGTATTTAAGTAATGAAGTAAAATGGGTTTTTTTTTCCACTCTTAAATTGTTCTTTTAAGGTGCTTTGGAGGTCAATTCTTAGATATGCATGTTGCAGTGGTGGGAAGGTGTCTGAAGCCTGTAAGACTTAATGCTTAATAAAAGAGAACAATCTTCAGTTGTGCCTTCAGAATCTGTGTATGGTTTGTTCATTGGTTCTTTCGTGTCAAAATAAAATTGCAAAAACGAAACAAGCATGTGGTTTTATTGTTTTTCCGTTTTTAAAACCTAAATCTAAAAAAATGCAAAATCGAATTAATAAAAAATCAACAGCTTTGCCATCTAAATAAAAATAAAATACGGTTGTTGTTTTAATATGTAGCGATACCTGAAATGAAGTAAGTCGGAATCATTTACAGTGGATGAAGAAGGCATAAAAAAAACCATTCCTGAATAATAGGCAATGGCTGCACTTGAACTGTTTTCTGCATTGATTATCGAACTTTTTGAGAGAGGAAAAACACACTCTGAAATCAGTAATGCTTTGCGTCGTCATGGAGCTCCTCATTACTCGGAAATGAGTGTCAGAAGGTTTTGTATGGAACACAACTTGCTGAAGGTGTACATTACCGCTACCTACTGGCAACTGAAAAAGTTATGTGCTGGGAGTTCAGGTCTTCATTTCCGGTTCCGCCATAATGTCCCGTTGAATTAACAACAAAATAAAAACTTGTCTTTGGTTTAACCATTGCAGTTAAAAAACAAAACGTATCCCTTTTTTACTTTTACAATTGCCGTTTTTTTTTCTAATTTTGTTTTAAAAACTAAAAAACACATGCATGTTTTGTTTTTGCAATTTTATTTTGAAACGAAAAAGACCAAAGAACGAACCATACACGGATTCTTCAGGATAGTTAAACCTGTCATGAGAGAAACATTGTTTGCTATTGTAACTAGATCTGTTTCTGTCATACAAAGTTTTAAGACTTGTGATGAATTTGTTTGGCAGTTTTTATGAAACTTATTATTGTAGAGAATGACAAACGGATGAATTTTAAATGCCATTGTGTTCATCAAAAGATTGCACACATGTATACGTTTTTGTCACATTAGAGGTACACACTTCTAATGTTGTTGAGTACTGTTTTGATTTTATTTGAAAGACCAATTCATAATAGTGCTCCGTGGTGAAAATGATGCATGGTTTTGATTTCTTTAGTGCACAGATTGTCTGTATATAGATCTCTTTGCTCTGTTTCAGCACTGTTCAGTTACACATCTGGAAATGGTTGGAGAGTGGCACAACCGTAAACCAACCAGGACATGGTAATTCATGTAAAGTTATTGAAATATTATGTTATTGTATTGGTATATTTAAAACTGCCATGAAATTATATTGAGCAATTGATTAATCGAAACTAATTTTAGCTCGCCCTATATTGGTTTTGTACGTTAATAACATACGTTTGATTTAGGTAACTGATAGGTGCAGTGTCTTGTCTGAGCAAACTTTGCATATTATTTAATACAAAATATGTGTCTTACATAAGCCTAGTTCATTTACATCTCTAATGTGTTTTTTTTTTTTTTCTGTTTCTCCTCTGGGGCATCGTTAGAGCTTTGTTTTCTGAACAGCATACAATTATCACCTTCTTCCACGCTTATTCAACCACACCACCACACTGATGCACAGACGCAAATAAAGAAGCTGACAGTGAGCACTCTGCAATTGAAATGATTTTGCTTAGTCACACCGGTAGTTTTGAAGGCTTTCTTCCTATTACCAAATCTTGATTTGCTTAACCCAGCTGCCATGGCAACCTGAATCTATCAGTGAGCTTCTAATTATGAATTACAATACGCATTATCGTACATTCGAGTGAAGAAATGTACGATAAGAGATGCGTACTGGCCTTCTCGTGCAAGTGGTGCAAAAAAGTGTTAGGTAGTGTTCGCGATTTATTAATGTTAATTTATTATTAATTTATTTGTTAAACAAAACCACCAATGGTAATGTTGCTGCTACATTATCAAGATGAGACAATTGTGGGGGAAAAAGTCATATGCAGTTCATAAAATATGTACTAACCTATAAATAATGCTGTAAAGTACATGTTTCAAATTTGAAACCTCCTAAAGAAACCAAGCAGCTGAGTAGGCTTAAAAACCAATTCAAATCTGTGCAATCTGTTTGTCTTTGTTCTTTTCACAGGTTGTCCTGGCTGTCACTCTGTGGCTGCACCCTGACACAATCACCTGTTCATCCTCACTCTTTCAACCTCTCGCGTCCTTCTCCTCTTCCCTCCTCCTCACCTCATGGCCTATTAATACTCAGACACAAAAGGCTCCATTAACGCCCCCGCTCCGAGACAGCAGTGAGCATGAATCTGATAATACGTGCCTTGGTGAACCTTCGGACACGGCTAGAAGCGAGGGAAAGTGGAAGATTGACAGAGGAAATCCCCCAAAAGCAACAGCATAACAGCTTCAAGCATCCAGTGACAATCTGATCATGTTGTTCTTTTGTGGCTAGCTTCGGCTGCAGCGTATTTGGGACATTTTGGATAAAACATGGGCTCTTAGATGCAAAAATGTGTTGAGCTGATATAGAGAAAGAAACTGTGAATATTTCTTCTTTAATAGAAGTGCCTATACAACACTGATGCAGTGACAAAACTGAAAGGATTTATCTTGAAAATGAATCACACAATAGAAGGTAAGTTTATTTTTTTCTGTTTGTTGCATAGTTGAAGTTAGTAAAAGTATATTTTGATCAGATAATAGCCATGTAATGGGTACCTGCTTATATTTTCCTTCTTTTATGTCTCACTACATTCAAATGTTGTTTTTTGAATCTAGGAAGATTTGTATTATTTTACAGCAAAATAATGAATATAATAAGTTAAAACCATGTATTATTATTATTATTATTATTATTATTATTATTATTATTATCAATATTATTATTATTATTATTATTATTATTATTATTATTCAATCAATCAATCAATCTTTATTTCAGACACAAAAGAGGTCCATAGTAAAAAAAAAACAAAAGAAAAAAAGAAAACAAAAAGAAACATGACATAGTCACTGAGCCACAAATAAATGATGATGCCAATGTTTCCACACATTATTATTATTATTATTATTATTATTATTATTAGTATTATTATTATTATTATTATTATGCACTTATGCATAATGTAGATTCATTACTCAGTGATTTATTTATAATGTTTATATATGACATGATTATGGCTTACAACCCAAAATTTAATTTTTCAGAAAAAAAAAAAGTTACAGAATATCAGTAAAATAAATTCTGACCCAGAGGTGCAGTGCAGCATATGGACTTACTTCTTGAACAGGGTCCTATTTGATGAATTGCTACATTAGTGCAGCTTGGCATGAAGGTGATCAGTCTGTGACTCTTCAGTGTTGGTTATGGCGTCTATCATTGTCCTCATGACAGTACTCAATGGATTATACATGCAGTTTTTGTCAGAACAGTGTGCTGGTCAATTAGGTATAACCTCTTATTGGTACTTTTGGCAGTGTGGTTAGATGCCAAATCACACAAGAAAATTAAATCAATGTTTCCATAAAGCTTGTCAGCACGGGTAGCATGAAGTGCCCTATGATTTCCGGCTGCTTTTTACTTTGGACTTGCCAAAGCACAATCGATCGACCAACACTAGAAGACATGAATCCCCAAATGATTACAGAATGTTGTGGAAACTTTACACTGTACCTTATTCAGATTGGATTATGTTCCTCTCCGCTCTTCCCCTGAACCCTGATCTTGATTTCCAAATGAAACACAAAATTTACTTTTATCTGACAAAATGGACTTTGGATTTTTCTTTTCATTTTTTTTTCTTTTTCCTTTAGTAAGTATGAATAAGTAAAACAATTCACTCTGGTTTAGGAGTGACTTAACAGAAGGAATGTGACAGTTGCATCCCATATCCTGAGGTGGGTATTGGAAGCGCCGACTCCAGTCACAATCCAAACCTTGTTCACCTGCAAACACTTTTTCTACCACAATTTTCCCTTCTATTTAACTTTCAATTAATATACTTCGATTATTCTCTCTGGCAATAGTCAGCTTAAGGAGCCATGTGTTTTTACCTTCCTTTTGGGGGATTCCAATAACATCTGTCTAGTTTTTAATCTTTCCTGTGATTGTTTTGCCCCGAACATAACATTTCTGTCTTATGATTTTTGCTAGTCTTTTATTTTTTTATTCTTTCACTCTGTGTGCATTGAATCTGCATGGTTTTCACTTTATTCACTGAAATGTTAGAATTACTTTTTAATTTTATTTTAATCCATTAAAATGTGCCTGTATAATGATGATAGTCAGATGTCTTCAATTCAACTTAAAGGATATTTTCAGGTGCTCAAAGTTTAGGAAAGTAAGAAATGAAAAAGGAAGTAAAGTAGAAAATGACTTCTTCCGTTCTGCATCCTGTTCTGCATTACTCCTAGCTATGGCCTAAGCCCACTCCTCCCTGAGCGTCCCTCGCAGGATGACTGCTGTCTACCCGTCTGAGAGCAGCCCAGATGGAGCTGAAGCTGGGGCTGGGACAGCAGGCACCACTGGGAACAGCTCGGTCTCAGGAGCAGGTTCCAGGGAGTCTAACGGAGACTCTGTTGGAGGGTCCACTGTAGGGACAGCTGTGGTTTCTGGCGGACAAAGGTACAGCCGCTGGAACAGGCAGGATAGCTCTGACATCAACACAGATGATGAGGGAGCCACTGTTCGTCGCCTAACTCCTCTGGAAAGGCTGAACCTGGATATGTGTCAGGATGAAAGGTAAGATTTCAGAGAAAAAGTCTTATTTTTTACAGCCTGACATTTCTTTGGACTTGAGCTACCTTTTCCATTTTTGATTGACTTGCCTTAGACTGCAGTCCTTTCTTGTATGAGTTTGTTAAATTATGGGAAAAAAAAACACATTTCGTGTTGCATAATCTCGTCACAGGGTGGTCCGTGAGCTGACAGTGGGCAGAAGAATTGCCTTCTACAAGATCCGTGGCGAAATAGGGTGTGGAAATTTCTCCCATGTCAAACTAGGAATTCATGCTCTTACAAAAGGTAATTAGTGCAAATAATGTCATGTCCATACGACAACACCTAAGACAGATACAAACAAAGCCCCATGTATCGAAAACTTTAAAGTAAGCCTTCTGTTCTGTCAGGAGTGAGTCGTTGTGATCAATGGGCAAGAGGTTTTTGTTTCATAGTTTATAAAGCAGCTCTTTTCCCGGTGAGGAGGCTGATTCATCCACAAACACAGTGACTATCTGCTGCCCTTGACCTAAGGGATTGATTAGAGATCTCCAGTTTCCTTAGCGACAGCTAAAATTGCTGCATGCCTCATCAAATGCTACAGATGGGGCCACGAATGAGTGTGTAGTTCTGTCAGACTGTGGGTGCTCTAGTATATTTTGCGACTTCATGCCTCTTTGTTCTATTAGTGTATTTTTGCATTTAAACTCTATTTCTGATTCTAAAACAATATGAGCTGGATTGCATTTTGAATGCTTCTATTGACAGCTATATTGCGTCTGAAACTGAGCCTAATACCAGTCTTAATAATTCATGCTGGAGCACAAAGAGATATCTCAGCACCATTTTGCTGCTCGAGAACTTTTCTGTATTCGGTTACTTGAGAGTTGTTTTAAGGATCTCTATTAATGATTTAAAGGCACATAGCCAACAGCTGGGGTATTTAAATGAAATATATGTAAAGTTTTTAGATCTTTAATCTTACTTTTTAGGATTGTAAATGTATTATGCGTACACCTCAAGTTGCTGCTGTTTCAAAAATAAGTTCCCATGATGTATAAAACTAAATTTCATTTTAAGATGAAATGGGAATGTATAAAATAAAATAAAAAATTAAAGGGCAGCTAAAGCTCTTAATATGAGTAGATTGCCAGTGTATGTTGTTTTTTTTAATATCATGCATGTACCTTTATATATGTTGTTAATTAAAATTTAAATTAAAAAAAAATACAGGATTTCTTTCTGTTACGTGATTGAGCTCTGGTTGATTATTAATTCTCTCTTTGGCATAACCAGACAAAGTGGCCATTAAGATCTTAGACAAAACTAAGTTGGATCAGAAGACTCAGAGGTTGCTTTCAAGAGAGATCTCCAGCATGGAAAAACTACACCACCCTAATATCATACGCCTATATGAGGTTTGTCTTTAGATTCCTTTTCCTTTTTAAAACCAGCCTTCTTCATTCTGATCATTATGCCTCTGTCTGTGTCCTTTTTAGGTGGTGGAGACGTTGTCACGGCTACACTTGGTGATGGAGTATGCAGGTGGAGGGGAGCTCTACACTAAGATTACTACTGAAGGAAAACTTTCTGACACTGACAGCAAGATTGTCTTTGCTCAGATCCTCTCGGCTGTTAAACACATGGTGAGTACTTACACACGTATGTTAATGGAATATATTTGAGTAGAATTACAATAAATTGTACTGTGAATACATTTTGTAACTTAGAGTCCCAATAGCCGTGCAACCGAAATATGAGATAAAATAACATTTAAGCATAAAATAAACTTTCCTTTCCCACTTGAATTTATTTTCAAATAGATTCAAGTTTGCTAAAATTGGTCATAACCCTTGCAGATTTTCTTTCTTTTTTTTCTTTTTTTTTTTCAAAAATGGTGCACCTTTTTTCCATATTATGCTTTGGGAGGGAGATTCCTGTGACAAACATTTTGGTTGGATAGAAATATCTAAATATCCCAGAGATATGAATACATTTAAGTTTTCTGATCTCAGTCATTTTTTTTTCACACCCTGGAATGTCGTTGATATCGTCTGGCATCGCCTTTTTTTAATCTCTACTCAGAGATCAAATCTACATGTCAGTTTTTTTTAATGAAATTTATAAACTGATTTCAGAATAGAAGATCTTTTGTAGATCCAGTTTAATCTAACTTGAGTTGGCGTCACATGGCATTATTAGTTTCTTACCTTGTTTAGGTAGATGGTACGTTTATGACTGTGATTTCTATTCTTCTCCCATAGCATGAAAATAACATCATCCATCGTGACCTAAAGGCAGAAAATGTCTTCTACACCAGCAGCTCTTGTGTCAAAGTCGGGGACTTTGGATTTAGCACACTGAGCCGCCGCGATGAGACGCTCAACACTTTCTGCGGCTCTCCACCTTATGCGGCTCCAGAACTCTTCCGGGATGAGCATTATGTAGGAGCTTACGTAGATATTTGGGCTTTGGGGGTCATGCTGTTTTTTATGGTGACCGGCACCATGCCATTCAGGGCAGACACTGTGGCCAAACTGAAGAGATGCATCATGGAGGGAGCCTACGTGCTTCCCCCATGGGTCCCCGAGGCATGCCAGAGGCTCATCAGGGGGATTCTCCAGCCAGTCCCATCGGACCGCTATACAGTGGAGCAAATGATGGGCTGTGAGTGGCTGCTCCCTGTGGAATTCCCATGTGCCATGGAGCCTTGTAAGCTAGATCCATCTCACCTTGCTGAGAACAAACCAGCTGAACTGCTGGAGGAAGAGCTGGAGGTAAAGGCTGCATTAGAGACTCTAGGAATCACTTCAGAGCACATATTCAACAACCAGGGAAAAGACTGCAGAAGCTCCATCACTGGGGTCTATCGGATCTTGCTACACCGGGCTCAGAAGAAGCGGGTGGTTGAGAGAACGCCTGCCGTTACACAGAAAGTCGGGCCAACTACATCAAATAAAAAGGGGCGACTAAAAGTGTATCGCAGTTTGCGGCACACATCTAAACTGTGTGTAGTTCTGTGACAAAAAAAGTTAAGCTTTACTATGGAAATTCAATGATTATGCAGCCTGGGGTTAAATTGCACAGACTGCATTAGCAAAGCTTTTCAGTCCAGTAGTATATGTCAAAGTAATCGTACTAAGACCTCATCGAGCTGCTGAAACTTGATATTTCTTACTTAGTATGTTTTCTTTTTCTTCTGAATCTAGTCTCTGTGAGAAGGCTGCAGAAAGTTTATTAAGTTTTTTTATATTGTTTTTGTTTTGAAATGAATTTTTTATCAGATTTAACAAGGTATGGAATGTAAATAATTAAAAGTCAATATAATGGTTAGAGTACTAATAATTTCATTTGGGTCATATAGACAATACACTGTTAGTTATCAGCTCTGTGCTCATTATTGGAATTATTGCCAGGTTGAAAGGCACCAATTTAACACCCTAAAAAAGGCTCGATATCATCCATCCATCCATCCATCCATTTTCTGAACACCCTTGTCCCTCAGTGGGGTCGGGAGGGTTGCTGGTGCCTATCTCCAGCTAACGTTCCGGGCGAGAGGCGGGGTACACCCTGGACAGGTCGCCAGTCTGTCGCAGGGCAGGCTCGATATCAGTAATATGAAAACAAAAACATCCATTCAGTGCAGTAAACGTGGTATATTTGATGTTTAAGTGCAATTTTCTGAAATGCCTTATTTGTCATTGTTTTGAAATCAAATTGGTTTCAGTAATGATACAGGTGAAAGGATCACATGTGATGTATCTCTATGAGATGTTCCAAATATTTACCTCATTAACCTCAATTTGTTGACTAACTTTTTGACTAAAAACAAGGCGAGTACCGGTACACTAAGATAAGATTTCATTACAGGTAAACCAACTAACAGAAGATTAATTAATGTGGTAAAACGTTACTTTCAGGTTCAAGGCCTGAGGCTGAACATCAGATTCGCTACATCATGCAATGCCATGTCAATGCTAATGTGCTGATTGAAATAAATGTCAAATGAAAACTTAACTGCTTCTGTTCATTGAAGAATAAACGCTAACAACAAAAAAGCTCATCTCTTTATATCTAATTGAGTTTCATGTAGAAAACTTTGATTAGCTCGCATTATCACCCCATCAGTAATTAATGTATATTTAGTTAGGTTTTTTTTAATCAACAAATAGTTTAGTTTTATAGATAACTTTGGTTTATAATTACTCTAATATGTAATGTTAGAATATATTCTACACATATACTATTGTATATGTGTAACGAAAAAATTTATTAATTTTCCGTAGCACAAGAACTTTTCATAATTTATTTATTTTTTAATGTACAGTACACAGCCTGTGTATCACATGCTAGTAGTACCTTATTGTTGTGACTATTACTAACATTACTAGAAAGAGATTTTTCACAAGAGCATTGTTATAATTCTGTGAATTGTTATTCAGTATAATATTGCTTTAAATTGAAAAGAGAAACATAATTGTAAGCTTTATTGCTAAAATGTGTATATGTTTTGCTTTATAAACTGTACAGGCAGTTTTTTATGTAACTAAATATAGTTTACCAAGAAGTATAGCTTATAGGGGAAACAAAACACAAACATCTAGTCTTTGAATTTGACTAACCTTAATGCAGTTTGAGAAGTTTTATTACTTCTTAATGATAAATGGGCTGTAAATCTATAACAATAGCAATAAAAGGTCCATTCACCTGAATTTTAAATTACTGTTTTTTTTATTAAACTGATTTATATTTTTTTTGTAATATTACACAGTAGAATATAGCTTTACCATATTAGATCCTGCAAAAATAGATAACATTTTACTACATATTTTTATTTAATAATAAATTTTCACTTTACTAAATATATCATATAATTTATTTATAGAACTACTTTTATGTGATACTTTTTATGATTTTGTTCGTGTAGTAAGGTTTTATATTCACAAAACGTCTAAATAGATCAGTTTACAAACTAGCTTATTAAGCATTTGACTACATTTCCCATGAACACCCAAAAAACCTACGTACCAAATTCGTTTCCGCCTTTGCGTGATGACGCGTTTTTTGCCTCGTTGGAAGGTGTTTTCAGGAGGAAGCTCCGGCCGGCTGTACACGGTAGCGGAAGAAAAAAGCTGAGAAACCAAAACGCATTCGTACGAGCTTGTTTGAGTTGATATCATCTTCTGCTACCAAACGGTAAGAAAATGTGCTTCTTTTGCCACCAATACTAGGATGTTTGGTAGTGTTTTTTTATGTTTTCAAAGGAGCCACGCCTTTAACATAATTCTTAAAACAGCTAAGTCAGTGTTACTCTGAAAATATTCCTTACTTTTTGCTGGAATTAATAACGCAGCTGCATTTTCGTGGTATTTTTAATAAACATTATGCTTTATCTCCTCGAAACAGCTCCCTCGTTTTCCGTTTTAATCTTAGTTTAACATAACATGACATGTATTGCAATGCTTTGGTGCGGTTTAAAACCAAAGCAAAAACACGCTTAATCAAGCCGAAAATCAGTTTTTGTTTTAACCTTTTGACCACCTTCCTTTTATTAATCCATTTGTTATGGGTGTTATTTGTTTTGACATTTGATGCTCTATCAGATCCTGCGAGAGGGGTAAGGGGGCGGGGCACATCATCGGATGAGGTCATGCTGAGATGTTTAAGATGATGCAACATTAGACGGTTTACAGACGCACTGTACCACGTTGTCAACTGCTTCAGAAGAGACAGTCCATTTACTTTTAACTAACTTAATTAAAATTGTTGCTGTTGATCTGAGAAAATAGGCTTCAACCTATGTCTGGAGGCCACACGTGGAATCAAATGCAGCATAGGCTGAGAAGATTCAGAGAAAGATCCCCTTTGTTCTGACGCATTGTTGTAATCGCGAGGCTGTTGCGATAACAAAACATCACCATACTTTATCATCTAAAGCGCATTAAATTCTTCATCTACAGATGCATACACGTTCATGCAGCACAAAAAATATAATACAAATTATTTTTGAAAAGCGTGAATGGCCACGTGGCTGCCGCTGCGCAGCAGTAGTAAAATGCTTTGATTTGTTTTGATTTGGCTGAACTTAACTACTCATTATAAAGCCCTACCATGGAAGTGGTGTACTAAAATTGAAAATTATTTTTAATAAAAACATTAAATTAGCATAAATAATATTTTTACATGCACTTTGACTCCAGGTAGTGGGACCTGGTGGATTTCTGTGATATGTACAGTGGTTTTCAGCAGTATTCATACCCCTTGAGTATTTTAATGTTTTTTTTTTTCCCTATTAGCACCACAAACTCTGATGGAAGTTGTGGAGATTGTATGTGGGAAAAAAAAAACAACACAAAGAATTGCAAAACTAGGTTGAAGAACAATGAAATAAGGTTTTGAAATTATGAACATATCTCTGTTGTGTTTGTATTTATCCCTCCTCACCCCACATCTTATTCCAAATCCAACTGCTGGTCTGTATCAGCTTTGTACGTTGTCAGGCTGAAAGTTTTCAGTTCTTTATGCAAAATGGATTAAACTCATTTTGATTTGATGAGATTTGCTGCAGCATTTGTCAAGTCGTGCCTCAAATTCTGAATTTAATTCTTGGTAGCTCTGGATGTGTGTTAGCATTGTTGATTCCCAGTCCAGTCATGTCCACACAGCATGATGCTGCCACCTCCATATTTCATTGTGTTATCTGCCTCACGTATGTTATGTGTACGTTGGATGTAGGCCAAAAAAGTTTTGCAATGTTGCCTTTGTTGAATTAGTTGCTTCTTTGATCAATGTCTGACCTGTTAGTTCAGTTGAATGGCGATATAGTAGTATGTATGTTTTTTGTTTGTTTTAGTCCATTAAACACTTGTGCCTTTGTTTTGGATTATTACTGCATACAATCCAAGTAAAAATAAAGTGTGTGGCAATGATGTGAAACCATTCAAATGCTATAAAAACTTGATAATGCAATAAAAACTATTTGTGAGAGCAGATGTTTCTCGCAGTTGATGTTAATGTTTTCCCTCATTAATACACCAACCAGCCATCAGCCAAACTCTCATATTATTTGATCTTTTGTGACATGATAAATGATGTTCTGTCACAGATGTCAGCCACTGAGGACCTTCCAGACATGGATGGGGCAGATCTCATCGGGCTGCTGTTTCAAGACGGCAACAACGGATGCACTGAGCCCCTCTTTCAGGATGAAGATGGGCTTATTGAATCCTGGCTGTCTGAGCAAGAAGTAAGGCTTCAAGCGCCTCAACCAGCTATCCAAGGCATTACTTTTGTCTTCAATTATAACCAGTGGAATTTATTTTTGTCTGCAGATGTTGACAGGTATGGATACTGAAGATTTCCTGTCCAGCTTGTTGGACGGAGATGACAACGTGGAGGCCTTCTGTCCGTCTCATTCCCCGCTGGGGAGCGACAGTGGCATTTCTGACGACAGCAGCACGGGCGCCGGAAACAACAACACTCTGGGAAGTCCGCACGGCAGTGAAAGCGACATAGTACCCAGTCCCAGCTATTCTCACCCCAGCCCCGTGCACTCTGACCCCACCCTTACCTCAGAAGCGCTGCAAGCAGAGAGCCCTGAGGCCTTGTCGGTCCATGCGGATCACAGCTACTCTCTGCTGCAGAACGGAGTCAGAGATATGGACGTGCTGGAGAGTGTCAGGGCAGAGAAGCCAGATACAGATGTCTTCATTGATCTGGGTGGGTGTTGTGGAGGTTTGAAATAATAATGATAATAATAAAAAAAAAAACCTAACCACAAGAACTTACGTAAACATACAGATTAAACTGATTTAAAACGACTCTCTTGTAACAGACGACTTGGTGAGTGATGCCATGGAGGAGGACTTCACCACTGAGCTGCCTTGTACCTTGGCCATTGAGAATTCTGCACATGATTTGGCTCAGCTAACCAAAGTAGACCAGGTTAGTTTTACATGCTTGCAGATATTTAGCATAACAATAATGCAGTTAAAATAACTGTGATTAAAAACACTTTGTTTATTAGAAAGGCACCGATTCGTGATATTTAAGTATTTACGTTTGTTTAAATGAATACCGTTTCAGTACTTTGATTTTTCTCCGTCTAGTTCCAGTTCAAGGAGATTGTTCTCACTGAGGAGGAGAAGCGGCTTTTGGCTAAAGAAGGAGCCACCATTCCCGAGCACATGCCTCTCACTAAGGTAATTGTGAGCTTCTATCTGTGTCTAATTGTCCCCTCACAGAACATTGAATATTTCTGACCACATGTGGATTTCGTTTCATACCTCTTTCAATTCTAGATGTTTATTTTACGTACCTTCTCAGAAGTGACACCTTGTTTTTTTTTGTTGTTGTTGTTTTTGCAAGAAAACATTAAAATCTTCTTTTTGTTTTTCTCTGTGGCGCAGCAGTTTAAGGCACATTGCTGCTGTCATGTCAGCATTGCGCTGAAAGCCTCCTTTACTTTGGTTGACAGGCAGAGGAGAGGACTTTGAAGAGGATCAGGAGGAAGATCCGCAACAAGCAGTCTGCTCAGGAGAGCCGCAAGAAGAAGAAGGTGTATGTTGATGGACTGGAAAACAGGTGAGCTACAAAGATAATTTAACAGATTTGGGGGGGAAATCGGGATTATAGGTGGTATAAGTGCTATAAGGCTCAAATTGTATCTGCACAGTGTTGGTACAAACATAATGGGACTAATTACTGAATGACTTTCTTCCACAGGGTTGCTGTCTGCACTGCACACAACCTGGAACTTCAGAAGAAAGTCCAGCTGCTTCAGAAACAGAACATGTAAGAAGTCTTGGACATTCCGCCTTTGCTCCTTTTTTAACAACAAGCATCATTACTCTAAATGTGTCCTTTCTGGGTTTTTTTTATAGCTCTCTGATTGAGCAACTGAGGAAACTCCAGGCTATAGTGAAGATGTCTACTTTGAAGGCCAGCACAACCAGCACTTGTGTTATGGTAAATTTGTCTGCAAAGGCGTTGTGTTCATCTTTGTTATTACGCTTTAACATTTTGCTGGGTTTTTTGTTTTTTTTCACACTTTGTTTGTCTTTGCCTCCTTCAGGTGTTCCTGCTCTCTTTCTGTCTCATCATCTTTCCGTCCGTTAATCCATTTGGTGGAAGCACTCAACAGAAGGAGTCCTTCACACCATCATCCGGTGAGTTGCACTATGGCTCCTTTTGTTTTGACCCTGAAGCAAATGTTTTTCCTCTGTCGTATTGCCAAAATAAAGCTATTTTTCCCACTATTGTGGCTTGTTTTTGAAAAAAATATCGTTTGCTCATTATCACAGTCATTTCCCGGACCTTGCGCTCAGTGCCATCAGAAAACACAGATCCTACGTTTTACCTGGAGACTGAGGATGATCCACTTGTCTTGGTGTCAGAAGTAGTGGAGAACACCAAGGCCATCTTCTCAGGCGGTCAGAAGAACCACACCCCCGACTACGAGAGGGTGGAACAATCTGACTCCGAGACTGGCGTCAGCAGCAACTCCTCAGCAGACTTCCCAAGTCCCGCTCAGGCGGCAGAGATGACGCCGGGGTCGCCTGGCGGCGTGGGTCCTTTAAAGGAAGGGTCCGTTGATCCCGTGGTGGCGACTGCTGTGGCGTATGACGTGCCGGGATCTAAAGAGAACTGGATCGACCGAAGCCCCCCGTCTGTCATTTTACAGCAGCACCGCTCTGATGAGATGTAGGTGCATTTTTAAATCATTAGACAGAGGGAGACTTTTTTTTTTAACTGTTAAATGAGGGAAGATTAAGCTTAAAATAAGGATGAAGGTAAAAATACTACTATCTGTCCAGACAGGGTATTCCCTGTTTTTCACTGCTTTTCTCATTTATTGCAGTTTTTTTTTTTTTTTGTGCACCTTTTATCTGATTTCATTGAAGAACTGAAGAAACTTTCACAGTATAAACTACTGAATGTTTCTATATTAAAAAAAAGGGTCAGCGTTGCCATTATATCAATTTCTGATCTACTGCAGGCCACATGCTACTGAAGTAGCCCCAAGGGGTTTTTAACTTGTTTTACAATGTGATGACCAAAAGTAATGGATCTAAATTTGCACACTGGGGAACAATGACACTTTTTTATATACAAGATTTAGCGGAGAGACATTTTAATTTTGCCTTCAGCAAGTATTGACATGCTCCTTCAAAACCATGAGTAAAAGTCCAGCCCTCCATCATAGATTGTATTGTAGAAGAAAAGCTGCTTGACTCATAAAGCTTGAACAAAGTGGTTGTTTGACCACTGTATCTATTGCTTAAGCCATTGCAGGACATTTGGCCATTTAGAAGACTAGTAAAGTGTGTTAGCATTTCCCTTGTACCAAGGGTATCCATGTGCTTTATAATTTTAAAATGCTCTTGATATTTTTTTTTTGTACAGTAAAGCGAAAGGAAAAATAGAAAAAATGCCCACGAGCTCCTTAGTTTATAATTGTTAGTGATGCCCAGTCTGCTGTAAAATGTTTTACCAGCTCGTCAAATTGTCTTTCTTTGTAAAAGTCTAAAACACCTTTTCACTCACGTGTATTAAGAAGGGGATTAATAAATATTTGCTCAGTGAACTATTTGCAGTAAAGTATACTCAAAGATGTAATGATCTGTTTCGTCAGTGAAATATTTTATTTTATTTTATTTTTTTTTGTATATATTTTTTTGTTACCGTCAGTGACAAATGGATTCTAAATTGTACTGGAACGTCTTTGGTATAATTCACGTGAAATGAGATTTTCAACATTAGTCATGTCAAAGCAAATGCACTGACGTTTGACAGTCCGAGAATGAAATGTAAATAGAATATATGATTGTTACTTTTTTCTGTACATACAAACTAAATGTCTGAATATCTATTATAATAAACTTTTTTTTATAAATAAGAACAAACTTTTGTTTATTTCTTTTCGACTACCCTGCCTTTTCCAGGAGCTTTTTTTCTTGTTTTTTTTTTTTTTTTTTTTTTGCCGTTGTCCAGCTACAAGTGACCCAGTTGTCTGGGTCTGTTCCAACACAACAGGCAAATGACTCATTATACTTTCCAGCATAGGCTCAAAGAGAGGCTATTTTCATTTTTGCTTTACAGTTAGTAAGGTTCTTTGCAATCACTCCAGAGAATACTTTCTGAATTAGGTGGTTCTTCACTAAGATTTTTAAAATCATTCTGAGATTTCTGCTTTCTACTGCCCTCTGCTGACTCATTTATAAAACCAACACATCACACTTGTTGAGAAGAGAATGTCAATTATTAGCTGCTTTTCAGTTAAAAAATGTCAACTAACATTTTTGACTCATTAGGTTCCCATATAAACTCATATCAACAGGTGGATTTATGGGTAAATTAACATATGGCTAGAAGGCTGATCATTCACCCATGAACTGGACTTAATGATGGGTGAATGATCAGCCTGATAAACCGATAGATGATAACCTATATTGACGCTGTACAATGTACAATCAACTGTTTGAAGTGATCCAGTTGCAGCTGGAATTTAATGTGTAAATACTGTACGTAGAAAATCACTGCATTTAAAAGTAAGAAAAAAAACACATTTAAACACACACCCATGCACCGTGATTAAAATAAAACCAAGATAAGATTGCCAATATTGCACCAATCAATGTAAAACATTGCAGTTAAAGAGTCCAGGGTTCCCTTTGATTCTGTACAGTCATCTGTGTTGGTGTGACTACAGTATGTTCACAGGTTAGAGGAAATGAACTGATTTGTAGCCTGTTTGTGCAGGTCTTCAGGGTTCTGCCTGAACTTAGACGAACCAATAGATGAATGTCTGCTCAGCACTTTGGTCTGTTGTGCTGTTATTGAAATGCTAAAGTTGTCTTGGCTTGGATGGGGGGCTGATTAAACCAATAGGTGTGAGGAGGGCTGATGGATTCATTACTGGATTTGATCAAGATCTGGGAAATGCTTACATTTTGCACCTTACCATGCTTAATCAGAATCCTGATTTCATTTCGCTCATTGAAGCTTATCTGAACTGGTAAGATGATGCAACTATGTGTAATTTCATTTCTATGATTTACTTTTATATAAATCAAAGCTTCAGTTTGTTGTTTTCTGAGGTGTCCATGTGTGGGAGCAGGGGGAATTAGGTTGTTCACATTTCTACTCAATACACTTTAGGCTGGGGCTATTTGTCTGACCTTAGCAAGCTCAGCTGTGCGGGAATAACACGGGATAAAAAATGAGTCACAAGTGTGAGGCTGGAATCATGAGTCATGAGCCCCAGCAACATGTTCAGGCTTGTGGTCGCAGTGGGTGAAAGTTCAATCCGCTAGTGACCGCCAGAGGGCGATATTGCCTTGTGTTTCTGACAATAAGGGGCAAGTGTTTTTGTGTATCTCTGGGTGGTTGTGCGGTTCAGGTGAAAAGTCATCCAGTTATCATGTAGGCAACCTTATTTGCATCGAGATAAATGTCAAACGACATTTTTGACTCATTTAATAAGAAATCTAAAATGAAAACACTTAACGGGGTGCATTATTCATGTAGTTATACTTTGTGATAATTGACAGAAGGTAAAATGGTCGCAATCTTCCCGTTAATATTTTGTCCAAGTTTGAGTCACGCACGCATACTTTAAAATGATTGTTCATTGTGTTTTAGGCATAGCATTTCAAGTTACGACAGGAGTAGCCCCCCGGTGCGTAAACACAGCCGGCAGCATTTGTTCAAAAATACACAATGGTGTTATGCTATACCACTGATAAGATAAAGTGGCCTGAAAAGGCTTCTGACCGCGGCACGCGCCCTTTTGGGGTCGTGCGCACATCTGTCGGGCGTCTGCCATTGGTCGCCGCGTGCGTGGAGGGCGCACAAAGGGCGCATGCACGTATGGAGAAATGCAACACTTCCATGCTTTTGCACTAAGCAAAGACAAGGAGCAGGTGAAGCGGAGGAGGGATTTAAGTCGCCTCCCTTTTGTCCGTGGGGACACGACACGCGTCGAGCCAGGCAGCTGTAATTAACCCTCACCCCCATCCCCACTCCACCACTCTTTAAAAAGTACGAACAAAAAGTGGCGTGTGTTGTCAATTGGCTGCTTGGGCTAAACTCTGAAAACTGCAAGGCTAAACATGATCCGATCTGGGTCATGTTTAGCCAAGGAACAACGAGAAAAAAACAAAACAACAATTAGCAAAAAGGCGTTGGTGTCAATCTCCAACAGTCATTAGGTAAGAATGGAATGATGCACGCTCAAAAGGTCACAATCAATCACAGGGAAACACAGTGACACACATCTGTGCACACACTCAAACTAGTTTGTAGTATAGTTAATAAACCTCTATGCAGAAATCCCAATCATGCAGAGGCACCAGGCTAGAGGCAGCAGTACAGAGTCATGCATCTACACACTCATACCAATTTAGAGTGGCCAGTCGGGACAACATGTGTGTTTTAGCCATGAAAAATCCAGAACTTTCTTATTACAAGGCAACAGTGCTAACACCTGCAAACCCAAAATGAATGATTTATTTTATTTTATTTTTGACTGCACTGAAAATGACCACAGAAAAGCATTGTTATTGACAAGTTCATTTGGATAACAAAATTCGGATATAACATATAAATAGTAATATTACTATGATTTTTATTGGCCAAAAAAAATGGTTATAATGGGAGGAAAATATAGCAAAAGTTACAGGTATGAAGTATTTATCGGCACTTGGTTTCTGTCTTATTAAATCACAGGGACACATAATGCAGCCTTCAACTGTGAGCATGTTTCTTTTGTGTTTGGTCACATAAATTGCATAGAAACATGCTACAGCTTACTTATATGGCTTGTGTCAGTACAATTAGCAAATTCCACCAATTTTCCAGATGGCAGTGTATGAAGAACAATGATTCTCCTTCTCATTTCAGATGTGACCCAAGAAACTTGTCAACTGTTTTTGACTCAATCGATGTTTAGTTAAACCCATCCAGTTTTTGACTGTGTGTGGGTTAAATGAATAACCCAGAAGTTCACAGAGTGTATTCCTTTAAGAGACTTCAAGAAGTCTCGCCTCATTATTAGGGTCAGGTTAGGCTTGGAGATTTCTCTTACTGGAGGGTTCTGTTGCCTGACTGTAAGCAGTGTGGCAGGTTGAGTAACAGAGTGGAAAGCTGTTTATTAGGGGCAAATGGAGGGCGGGCAGGGAAAGTTTGCTATATAAAACCTTAGCAGTGATTCCCCGTGCTGGGAAAGTACTTACCCTAAAATACACTTCCAATGTTTATCATGGAAGGTATCTGTTTCTCTACTGGGATCACTCACTGCATTCCACCTGCAGCACCATAATATGTTTTAATTTTTAAAAAGGCTGACACCAGCTGTCCTATTAACATCCTGCTAAACAGTCTGTAAAAAATCTTAATATTTTAAAGAAATGAAACCTCTAAAGGCAGACATCTCACACACCCTATGCTTTTGTCCATTTCATTTTTTTTTCCTTCTGATCTTTTAACCCAGCAAATCCTTCAGTTAGTACAGTGTGTCGAATTTAAGGCATTTTCAGTACAATTTTTATTGTCATTTTGTTATTATAGTGAAATTTTGTGAGACTCAACTAGCATAAACGAGGATCGGAGCCAAAAATAAATGTAAGTATTTTGCAAATAAAAGTTTTTAGAAAACATTATGAAGTTTGTGATTTAGAATTTTTAAATTATTTTTATTTATTTATTTACCAAGTTAATCATGCATTCATCTAATCTTCTTCTTCTAATTATATGTCATTATTATTACATTTCTGGGAATAGCTTATCACTGCTGAATA